CGGCATGATGAAACCAAGGACAACTTGTATCAGAATGACGACAAGAGAAAATTATGGAGAAGGAAAAGAACGGCTCGTGACTCAAAGCATTCAGCATCATGAGTCAAAGACGTTGTTATGGGACAGGCATGCGTGAATGCTCTTAGAACTCTTGAATGGTAAATCCAAACCGACTTAGCGATGGCCCTTTCGAATGTTTGCACCTGATGTGAAAGTATAACCGGACAAAAGGGAACATCTCAAGTCTCAAAGTAACCCTTTTCGGTTTCAAGCTGACGAGCAGCTTTTGCTTCCCCTTGCTGTCAAAATGCTCTCCTGACAATGAATGGTGTAGGCCACACCCCAAACAAGTGTCAAGGCCTCAGAGATCTTTTCAATGAGCTCCTCTTTGTCTTGCCCCCCCAGAGCCTCCCGACTTCTCCCCCAGTCAACACGACACGTGCATCTGAATAAATCTCTTTCACCCCCTTGTTGATCTGCCGTTTCCTCTTGAGGATGCCAGCTTTCATCTTTTGCTCGTGTTAACAAGGAGCCTCACCCCGTTCTGCTTATCCGCGCTTGGAGCATCAATCAGTCCTCTTGCCGGCACAGATCAAATGATTAGCAGGCATCACCTTACAGAGGGGCACGAGTGCGTCTGGATTCATTTTCAAGCTTGACAATACTAATAATAGATTGCATCGATGCACCTCGAGCTCAGCATGAGCCTCCGTGTCGTGCCAAACAGTCAAGGCTCAAAAACAACACGCAAACTTGAACACACAAACAAGAGCCGAGCATGGTGGAGAGGGAACCAAGAGAGGGATGCATCGTGCTTTAGGTTATAAATGTACCGATCACCCGAACCCTTTAGCAAAGACCTAACGACTCGTCAAATGGTGTTCGAGCTGTTTGCTGCTACTCACAGTTAACACCAAAAAAAGAAAATGACACTTTGTGTACAGCATATAAAAGCACTACATATCTCTGCTTAGGATAGGTTAGCTTAATGCTAACAAACAAGGCCAAAAGCCAAAGATAAGCTAACGAATAGCATCAGTGTTGCATAATTGTAACACAATTATAACACAAACGATGGACCTTTGAACACAAACTATGGAGCAACACAGGTAGACAGACATCACAATACTCACAAGCATATTTTTGTATCCTTTGCAAATAGTTTATCCAGCAATTAACACATTCCAGCAGCGTAGGTCAGTTGTGAAACACTTCTTCGTGTGTCTCTATATTTGTACTATACCATCCCCAGGTGGCCAAGGTGCACACACTAGAAGGACAACACAATGTCCATTAATTTGAAGAATGTAGCAAAAAAAAAAAAAAACAACCTAGAATTCTTGATATTCTAATGAATAAAAAAAAGAATACAGGAATGACACACATAAAGTGCAAAAATAAAGTGTGATTTTTCTGATTAAAAACGTATTATGAGCATTTGTGCGGGGGGGGGGGGTACAAGAACAGATGAATGACATTTCCATTCATTTGAATAGGAAAAAATGATTTGAGACACGGACATGGTCAGGGAACAAATTAAACTTCTCATTGCACCACTCTACTTTGTTTCTGCAAGACTCAAGATGTGTTTTTGTCACATGCACAGTAATGACAAGAGTAGCACATGGTGTTTTTCAAGCGGCTGGCAAACCAGAAGAAGAGGAGAAGAAGAAGAAGAAGAAATCCTTTCTTGTTTTCCAGCACAGACTGCTGTTGTTTTGCTTGGGAATGTGCAGATGTGATTCTGCTGCTGCTCAGTACAGGGACAGTTTTGTTTTCTAGTGGCACACAGCACTGCTGGCCACCCAAAAATCCTAAGTTTTAGTGCTATCACCCAGACATTTTTAAAATAAATATACAGTACATAACATCATTAATCCATCCATCCATCCATCTATGATCTGATCTGCTTACCCTCACAAAGGTCATGGCCGTGCTGGAGCTTATTCCAGCTGTCTTGGGGCAGTAGGCGAGGTACACACTGAACCTGTTGCCAGCCAATCACAGGGCACACAGAGACGAACAACCATCCGCGCTTACACTCAAACCTCAGGACGATTTACAGTGTTCCATGAACCTCTCATGCATGTTTTTGGAACATGGGAGGAAACCGGAGTACCCGGAGGAAACCCATGCAGGCACGGGAGGAACATGCAAACTCCACACAGGCAGGCCGGACCGGAATCGAACTCTGCACCTCAGCACTGTGAGGTGGACTTACTAACCAGTCAATCACCGTGCCGCCAACATAAGATCATCCATCCAAAAGGTAGACAGTAAAATTGCTCTACATATCTTTACAAATTAGGGCTACGTTAATTGATTTAGAGGCGAAGAATGATTTCTAAGTATTAACTTGTTCATGAGGCAGCACAGTAGTCAACTGGTTCGTACATCCGCCTCACGGCACAGAAGTCCAGGGTTCGATTTCGGACTGCGGTATTCCTGTGTCAACTTTGCATGTTCTCCCTCTGCCTGCGTGGGATAGCGGGTGTACCGCGCCTACTGCCTGAAGATCGGATAATTGATGGATGCAGGTTAAGCGCCTCAGATAATGGATGGGTGGATAACTTGTTCAAGAGTCTCAGCTTGGCAAAATAGATGGGGAAATGATACAAGTGGGAAGCGAAAATATATGCTTGAACAAGTCTTAATGTCTAATTGGTGATGTTGGCTTTTTGAATGGCTAACAATCATTTAACGTCTTCACACTTCCTTTGAGTACAACCCAAAAATAAATAAATAAATCCACTGACTAGTCATTAAAAATACACGGAGCTGTCATTTAAATGTTGACATTTAGGGCCCTGCAAGACATTTTGCATTTTGGACCACAACATTAGGGATGGCTGGACAAAGGTGTATCGAAAATTGTCTGGTAAAAAATACATATATAAATAAATTTTAAAAATAACAACATGAGAATAATAATGAGACAGTGCTGTTTGTTTTTCTATTTTTTTATACATTTATAGATATATAGATAGATATGTCACAGAAATATATATTTTGCATATTAGTGTAAATGTATATACACACACACATATACATACATATACATTAGGGTGGTCCACATTTTCATGGCAAAAAAAAAAGTTTGTCGGATTCGTCGGGCCGGGTCGGAATTCTTGTCGATACTATGGTACAAGGTTCTGTGCAAAATTTCATTCCGATCTGATGATATTTTCCC